GGGTGCACAGCATCCTGAGCACCAGTGCATGAGGAATATGACAATACCTCTTATTAAAATGTCCTTGCCAACTTGAGTCCTCACCCTCAAACTGACTCATCACTTACTTTTGATACCTGCAAAAAATTCTTGCACACATTGTTCTCCACTTCCATCTTACCCCTTCCTTCTCCTCCTCCTTGTCGCCCCTCTGCCTCTCTCTCCCTTTTAGAAAACCCCCCGACTCCCATCGAAACAAAGGAATTCGACAGTGAAGGCTGGGCAGTTGTGAATGGGCAAACCATAACCATCTGAATAATAGACGTTGATCGTGATGGTTCATTATTATAAGCAGACGATTAAATCTGTGGAGAGCCTGCTGTGTTCACCACTGTGCAGTGCTGATCCTTCTAACCATCTCTGTGGACTGATGAGGGCCTTTTCTCCCATTGTTTTTGTAGTACGAAAATCCAAAGCAGCTGATGAGAAGAGACGCTCCTTGGCCAAACAAGCTCGGGAAGATTACAAGAGGTTATCCCTCTCAGCCCAGAAAGGAAGAAGCAGCGAGGGACTGCAGAGTCCCCTGAATGTTGCACAGAAACCAAAAAGACTCCCCCTACCACCCAAGCCTCAATTCCTAAACCTAGCAGGATACCCCAGGCAACCTCTTAGGTAAGAAGCCACACAGGTGGCTTTCAGCTTAAGCATTGAAATGGGCTGATTAAAGACAAATTGCATGACCAGCCATGGGGAACAGAGGGCCAGCTGGCAGCCTATGTAATTAAATTCAGCCTCGCCTCTAATCTTGTCTTCCTGAGATACTTAGTTAGGAATTTATTCCTTCTTACCTGTAAAATGTCCACAGTTGTTATTAGTATACCCAGTAATTTAATGAACATGAGCACTGAGTTATGTACTTTGCACAATGGCAGTGGACTTGGATGCTGTCTCTTCCCTGTGTTCCTTCTCTTCTCATGAGCTGGTTCACTGATTATTGATAACTTCCTGTGCCTCTTCCCCACCCCCAGCCCACCCACCGGTAGTAGGCAAGCTGATGTGGGAAGAAGAGGAAACCTCAGGTTTCATCC